TTAAACAGTCCCTGTTCGTTAGTGATTCAACCCAAGCACAATGTTGAAGTAATAAACAAGAAGTCTGTGAGCGAATGCTCACTAATAATACCTCCGCTCTGATGTGAATATACACTCTCATGTTGACATCGAATTCATACAAAAATGAATCCCACCATGCCTAAAGATTGTGCTAAAATTTCAAGCATCTGCACTGAGCAGTTGTTGAGAAAACTGTGACGGAAATTTGGTACGGACAGACGAACGGATAAACAGGAAGTTGACATTGTATTTAATCAAAAATGAATTCCACCATATGGCATGCCTAAACAAAGAGTGGGTTAAAATTTCAATTATCTGTGATGAGCAGTTGCTGAGAAAACTATGACGAAAATTTGTTAAGGACAGATGCACGGATAAACAGGAAGTTGACATCGAATTCAAACAAAAATGAATCCCACCATATGGTCACAGTCACCTACTTTTTGGTTGATACACTCCAAAGACTCAAGAAGCCTTAACTGACAATGTTTTATGATTCTAAGCCAATTGTTGACCGAAAAGCCATCATATTCCATGAGTAGGTCATAGTGTCCTACTCTTTTGGTTGACATACTTTGAAAACCAAAATGGCATCAACTGACAAAGTTTGATGATTCTAAGCCAGCCAATTAGTTACTGAAAAAAAGCCATGAAAATCCAAAAGTAGGTAACGGTGACCTTCAACTGACATATTTTGATGATTCCAAGCCAATTACTATCTGAAATAGCCATGAAATTCCTAAAACAGGTCACGGTGACCTACTTTTTGGTTGACACACTCTGGATACCCAAGATGCAGCAACTGATTCCAAGCAAATTAGTACCTGAAATATCCAAATTAAGCAATGAAATTGCAAAAGTAGGTCGCAGTGACCTACTTATTAGTTGATACACCCCGAAGATTCAAGATGCATCAACTGACAAAGTCTGATGATTCTAAGCCAATTAGCATATGAAGTATTGAAATTAAGCCATGAAATTGCAAAAGTAGGTCAAGGTGACCTACTTTTTAGTAAACACATTCCGAGGACTCAAGATGCATCAACTGACTCAGTTTGATGATCCCATTCTTCAAAACGTCCAAAATATGCCCTTATAACAATCTGAAAACAAATACCTGTAAAATTCCAAAAGTAGGTCACTTTGACCTACTTTTTGATAAATCTGTTTTAAGGCTCCTAGGTGCATCAACTTACAAGTTTTGATGATTCTAAACCTTTAAGTACCTGAAATATTGACCTTTAATGTTTAAAAATGATAAGCCATAAAATTCAGAAAGTAGGTCACTGGACCTACTTTTTGGTTGCCACACTTTAAAGTACCATGATGCATAAGCTGACAAGATTTAATGATCAGAGGCTTCAAAGTATCCAAGTTATGCATCAAAATTAAAATGAAAATGAATACCTGCAAAATTCAAGGGACACATCCCTATTTTTAGTATAAATGAAAGCCCTTGGGACAAGGATAATCTGTGACAAATTTGAAAAAAATTGAGGTATGGCCGATTTTCAAAAAGTTTACAAACACCGCACTAATGGACATAGCATTAGCTCTTTGAGCCTTCGGCTCAGCGGAGCTAAAATTTCCGCCATGACTATGACCAGGCCATATAATGTTAGTCATATTCATCTGTCCTGTCATATATAGCTTAGTTTCAAAGAAACTATTCATGTCCATCTGAAGTGTGGTTTGAAATTTAGAGAACTATTCCACAATGCTACCAGTGTGATTTATTAAGAGGTTCTGAAAAAGAGACAAGGAGCTTTGATAAATTCAGATTAATCTTTCCACTAAGGGAAAAATCATCATGACGGTTCCAATTTAATATAATTATTATATGATATTAGTTATATATCGGAGAACTTCCAAAAAATAATCTCCGATTAGTGACTTGTTTTGAAAGCTGAGTATACTGTGGTGATCAGGCAGGATCAATCGTAGGAAAAATACAATACGTAGCCTAGTTGGTAGAGCACCTGACTAGTGACTCAGGGGCCTGGGTTTGAATCCTCGTCCGACCCTTCGCATGTTCCTCTTAATTCACAGATTATAACACATAAATTTTATCATTTATTTTGTGATTCATTAAAATATTTCAGTAATTACAAAACAAGAAAAATGTAACAAGTCATCTCTCCACAAACTATTTTCAGCAGGACAAATATGATGTTCAGCACTTAATACAATTTTAATAGGGAAATATACAATATTTTATCAAGAAACATTGGCATTATCTCATAAATGAAATACAGCAACGGTTCCTTTAACTGAAGTTACAATGCTCATATACTAGTATACATAATGCGAGAATTACAATGATTGTGTACAGCATTTTTTTTTTTACAGTTGTAATTATGGCTTCATTGGATTGTCAAATCAGGAAGGATAACAGTTATTGAGTAAAAAAAATGGTCAATGTTCATCAAGTATGCAGTTAACCCACATATTTTTTCCTCATCTTTTAGATGCAGAACATGTAAGCATATAGAAAAAAAATCTCAATGAATCTGTAATCTTCAAATATAACACTCCTACTGACTGGTTCAAAAAAAAAATTTGTAACTGAACAAATTACTCTCAAATCTCGCTTAAATTGGTAGCTTGTCTGGTTAATTTTCAGTACTAATATTAAAACAATTACATACACGATAAAAAATGAAATCAATTGCAAAATTAAATACACATGTAGAATGAGAAAATCATTTCTGGTACCATAAAAATGCTCAAGGAACAAAACAGTTAAATAAGACAAATTCTGCTTAATCAAACAAAGCTCAGCTAGCAAAATGGATGGTGTTTTTATATACCTATGCGTGACATACAAACAGCGATAAAATAAATACTTCTTATTCAAGTGCATCTACCATGAACAAGATGGCCGTTTATAGTTTGCAAGTAAAAACTGGGGGGTGAAAAAAAATCTTTTTGATTATAAATACATAAAGGAGCTAACACACACACACACAGCCAAGTACCAATTTTTATTTTTTACCTTTGGTATGAAACTCTGAATATGTAATCAATACATACAAAATGATGATTAAAACAATATTAAAGAATTTTGTTCATCCACATGATTTCATAACAATACAAGTACAACACATTTTGGATTCATAATTAAGTAATTTTCATCTAGAAACATGTCCAAAATAATAATTTTAAAATTAAATTGTTTCTCAAATTTGAATAATTTCTTAATTAATATCATCCATGATCCTATCTTGATGTCCTCTTACTATTCAGTAATCTACAAAATTGTTACAAAATAAATCTGACCCCAGATGACCTTAAGCAAGTTAATGACATCCACATTTTACTTCCTCCTAAATAATCCTTTAAGCCCCCTTCCTTTTGATGCTGCTTTAGCTTCCTGTTTTTTCAGTTTCTCTTCCTCCTTCTTTTTCCTTTTCTCTTCTTTCTTTCTCTCCTTTTCTTTCTTCTTTTCTTCCTTTTCATTGTCAATCTCCTCCAGGAAATTAGGATTCTGCTCCAGCATAACTTCTATTCTGTTTGGAAAAGGTAATAAATTACATTTATATTGATTGAAATATATTTGATAATACACTATATAAATTTTGTTTGTTTTTAAGTGTAATTATTCTTTTTTTTAAAAAAAACACCCTTAATTAATTAATTAATGGGGTTTCTTCAGATCTTTGTGTAGCAATCAATGTGTGCTGGTCAAAAGATCTGATTTTAATAAGATTGAGTAAACATAACCTTTCTGAAAAAAAGTAATTTTACAATAGCATCGAATTGCATTTCTAAAGGTTTCAAGTGTTTGTCGGTGTGTGAAGCATTTATCTGGATAACTGAAAAATCATGACAAAGATACTTGTATTAAGACAGCTAGCACTCATGTGATATACTTTTTTATATTCAAGTTCTCTGTAGTTTACCTGCAATTCTGCAACACCTCCCACTAAGGTATATTAAATTCTGGTCATTGCTAATACATGTACAAGCTGGTTCCTCACAAATTAAAAGATGTTCAGGAGCCTTCTTTAATATCTTGATGAGAATACTGAAAGCTGCTATGTTTGCATTTATGCATTCTGGATAATTTGCATTATATATTTATCTTAACTGTGACACTTGCAAATTAATAATATAGAAGGTTTAATGTCTTTGCCCTGAAGTTGAAGAAATTAACAGATACTTGCAGTGCTGCCTGGTGCAAATGTTTAGAGATACTTGTCTCATGAAGATATCTATAATTTTTACTTATCTTCTGAATATATCTAGAGATACTTGCCTGGTAGAGTATTTAGAGATAATTATCCTGCAACTTCCCCTTGCATTGACCTAATAAAGGTAACCTAATAAACCAAAGCATTATTCGGTCAACATCCTAATAAAGCCTCGTGCATGTATTCCGACGTTCTAAAAGCATTGTGAAGTTATATAATTCAATGTTTACACCATGGCGTCTTAGTTTCAACTGCAGAGATGTACCTGAATTGGTTGAAAATAGCTCGTTATAGAGGTCTGATGTAAAAAATATATTGCAGGATAAACAAAATACATAAGCGATATTTGGGCTTGGGTCGAAAACGTGATAGAGGGCTCGGCAAGCCTCGCCCTCTATCACGTTTTCTTTCCCTCACTCAAATATCACTTATATTTCAAGACAGTATCCGTGTTTTTTATATTTATCTCATGGAAATACTTAGAGATATTTGTAACATGAAGATATTTGGATACTTGCTTTGTGGAGATACTTATGGATATTTAGCTCAAGAAGACATTTAGAAGCACTTGTCTGCTGGAGATATTTAGAGATAGTTGTCTGCTGGAGATATTTAGAGATACTTGCCTGGTGGAGATATTTAGAGATACTTGCCTGGTAGAGACATTTAGAGATACTTGTCTGCTGGAGATATTTAGAGATACTTGCCTGGTGGAAATATTTAGAGATACTTGTCTTGTGGTGATACACTGTATGTAGAGACATTTAGAGATACTTGTCTGCTGAAGATATATAAGGATACTTGCCTGGTGTGATAAATGTGCTGTGTGTGTCTGCTCTAGGATTAGGAAGGGGAGGTAAGAGGTTCGGGAGAGTGAGAGATAGGGGAGGTAACTTTAGCCTGGTGCTGCATTATTCTATCATCATACCTAAACAAAATAAAATTACATCAATTGTTCAAAGTAAATACAAAATCAACAATTATTAAAGCAGTTTTAAAATACTGGAAAGCATATACTGATAAATTAATTTTCACTTCTTTTCATGAAAACTACGAAATGAAATAGCAATTAATCATAAACTAGCATTAAAGAGCAGTGAATTCTTATTGCAACTAAACTAATGCAGGGAGATGATTGTGAATGTTTTCTTAAAGCTGTGAAAAAAAATAGTATTTCTGCAAATCTATTTGTATATAAAATCAATGTAATTTATACATAATTTAAATTTTCAATCATATGGATTTTAGATACTTTATCCTGTTTTACACCTACATTTGATCCACTCCCCCATTTATTTTTGCTCCACTCCCTCTGGATCACATACTTACTGTTGTACTTGTTCTGGGACAGAAATATACTCCATAGGAATGATCTGACCTAGTTCTGATAGCGACCGGACAAACCGCAGCTTAGAGGAAAATTTGGCACTGGAAGAAACCAACCAGACATTGTAATTTGTACAATGTTATCCTGAAATTTCAATTTCTTCCCTAACAAAAATTTGATGTGAATATTTCTAAATACATATATTTAAGAATTTTACTTGATGCTTTTAACATTAGTGTACAATAATATATTCAATTTTTCATGATCTTGTAAATATCATCTGGTTTATTCATTGGGTAGACAGTTTCCTCACTTCAACAGTCCCTGTTTGAAGTGAATCAACCCAAACACAATGTTGAGGTAATTAATTACTATCTGCCGATGAAATGTCTTAATTTTTCATAACAAGTGATACATAAAGAGATAAAGGATAGCTAAAAATGTTTTGTTCAAAGTGCTTGGTTTTATTTTCGATATTTAAATGTTAAAATTGAAAAAAAAATTAACGTCTTGATATTTTATTGTTTAGTTGCAACATTTGATAATTTCATGGATATGTTCATCATTTTGCAGGAAACCAAATCAGAAAATTTTAATTTATCTTTTTTTTTTTTGTTTTTTGTTTCGTATTTTCTCAATGAGAAAGGATGACTGCACTTAACGCCGGTTTTTGGGTCTTTTTCGGTTGCTTCTGTTGCTTTTATATCTAAACCTTATTTCACTTTTGTATGTTTATGAAAGAATCCTGTCAATTTGGAACTAAATTTAAATCTTAAAATGATTTTAGACCGTGATACAATAAAATGATTCAATGTTTTTTGTGAAGATAGGAAAAATCTTTAAAAATCTTCTTTTCAAGAACCACTGAGCCAGAAAAGCTGAAACTTACGTGGAAACATCCTCAAGTAGTGTACACTCTAAATTGTTCAAATCATGACCCCGGGGATGGGGGGGGGGAGGGGGGCACAATAGGGAATCCCAAGTTTTACATTGAAATATATAGGAAAAATCTTTAAAAATCTTCTCAAGAACAACTGGACCAGAAAAACTGAAACTTATGTGGAAGCATCCTGGGGTAGTGTAGATGCTTTTAACATTAGTGTACAATAATATATTCAATTTTTCATGATCTTGTAAACATCATCTGGTTTATTCATTGGGTAGACAGTTTCCTCACTTCAACAGTCCCTGTTTGAAGTGAATCAACCCAAACACAATGTTGAGGTAATTAATTACTATCTGCCGATGAAATGTCTTAATTTTTCATAACAAGTGATACATAAAGAGATAAAGGATAGCTAAAAATGTTTTGTTCAAAGTGCTTGGTTTTATTTTCGATATTTAAATGTTAAAATTGAAAAAAAAATTAACGTCTTGATATTTTATTGTTTAGTTGCAACATTTGATAATTTCATGGATATGTTCATCATTTTGCAGGAAACCAAATCAGAAAATTTTAATTTATCTTTTTTTTTTTTGTTTTTTGTTTCGTATTTTCTCAATGAGAAAGGATGACTGCACTTAACGCCGGTTTTTGGGTCTTTTTCGGTTGCTTCTGTTGCTTTTATATCTAAACCTTATTTCACTTTTGTATGTTTATGAAAGAATCCTGTCAATTTGGAACTAAATTTAAATCTTAAAATGATTTTAGACCGTGATACAATAAAATGATTCAATGTTTTTTGTGAAGATAGGAAAAATCTTTAAAAATCTTCTTTTCAAGAACCACTGAGCCAGAAAAGCTGAAACTTACGTGGAAACATCCTCAAGTAGTGTACACTCTAAATTGTTCAAATCATGACCCCGGGGATGGGGGGGGGGAGGGGGGGCACAATAGGGAATCCCAAGTTTTACATTGAAATATATAGGAAAAATCTTTAAAAATCTTCTCAAGAACAACTGGACCAGAAAAACTGAAACTTATGTGGAAGCATCCTGGGGTAGTGTAGATGCTTTTAACATTAGTGTACAATAATATATTCAATTTTTCATGATCTTGTAAATATCATCTGGTTTATTCATTGGGTAGACAGTTTCCTCACTTCAACAGTCCCTGTTTGAAGTGAATCAACCCAAACACAATGTTGAGGTAATTAATTACTATCTGCCGATGAAATGTCTTAATTTTTCATAACAAGTGATACATAAAGAGATAAAGGATAGCTAAAAATGTTTTGTTCAAAGTGCTTGGTTTTATTTTCGATATTTAAATGTTAAAATTGAAAAAAAAATTAACGTCTTGATATTTTATTGTTTAGTTGCAACATTTGATAATTTCATGGATATGTTCATCATTTTGCAGGAAACCAAATCAGAAAATTTTAATTTATCTTTTTTTTTTTTTGTTTTTTGTTTCGTATTTTCTCAATGAGAAAGGATGACTGCACTTAACGCCGGTTTTTGGGTCTTTTTCGGTTGCTTCTGTTGCTTTTATATCTAAACCTTATTTCACTTTTGTATGTTTATGAAAGAATCCTGTCAATTTGGAACTAAATTTAAATCTTAAAATGATTTTAGACCGTGATACAATAAAATGATTCAATGTTTTTTGTCCTTACTGCTTTCCAATTATAGAGAATTTACACTTACCTGCCCTTGATTGAACATAAGATATGCATGAGAGGTGGAGCTAACATTGTAAGAATGGGTCTAAAATTAGACTTGATAAATAACAATGACTTGTTTGAAAAAAGAACGTGATCACTCTTTCCAATCTCCTCTCCATTCTGTATGGCACAAATACACTACTGACAAAGGTTTCAAAACGAAATTAATAATAGGAGCACGTCAATGTAATTAAAGCAGATTTCATATCAATGCCAGATGACTTAACGTGTTCGAACACAATGTCCTAGTAAGCACAAAACATGCTACCTTACAAGTCACGTGACGGAATTTAGTATTCACAAAGTTACCTGGGGTAAAAAATCACGTGGTGAATTATAATATTCAACATGTCACAACCCTTGGTTACAACACAGAGAGCGAATGTAAGAAGAAGCAGTTTTTTTCTCTTTTTAACCATGAGCGCATGTTTGTCTATTAATCTCCTTTTGACACATTATTATTTATGCAAATATACAACTACTGTTAAACGTAGAACAATAGACAAACATGCGCTGACTATGCATGAAGTCAGTAAAAAAGTGGGCGTCCTCATTATCGAACGGAGATTCAAGAAATTGTGATGACCCCTGCCTTTGAAAACAGATTCGAACTTCGTAAATACACACTTTTATTAAACGTAATTACAGTAAGTTGTAGATTGGATGTTGACCATTCTTGCAATGGAAAGAAAAATGCTTGTTTTGAAAGTTTATTTTGTCGCAAATTTCGCCTGTCCTTAAGTGCAGTCATCCTTTAAATCTTTTCATGTTAAGCCATCACAATACCTGATAATTTTGTTGTTTGGGAAAAAGGAGGAGTACAAATAGAAACCAGCTGATTTGTATGGAATTCAGAGAGAGCCATGTAGTTCACTATCTCATCATCAAGGTTTGGGATGATGCCATGATAATGCGATGACGATAAAGCAATGGTGTTCACTTTCACACCTTCTACCGCACCTTCGTCATCGCATAGTTGCACCAAAATCATTGTCATCACACTATTGCCGCATTGCATCGTTACTGCACCATCACTTAATTGTCATTGCATTATTGCATCATTGCACCATCAACCCAACAGTTGATGCTGGATAGTGAACTACATAGTCCTATCTGGATTCCACAGATTTGAGTGTATACCTGATAAATGGTCTGGTCATCATGACTATGGTTCTTAGCCACAGCGTGGGGTGTATTAACAGTAAGGACTTCAGATTCTTCCTCAATCTTTGAAAAAAAAATTAAAAACTTTTAAAAACATTGGAACATATACAGTGATGCATAAAACATGCAAATATTCCTTCTGTGAATTTCATGTGAAAATTTACAATTTACAGTTCAGTTGATCCATGGAAAGAAATTGGCTTATTATTTACACTCTGTGATTGAAATGTATTTAAACATACTGAAAAAGAAAACAAGAGGCCCATGGGCCACATCGCTCACCTGAGTAACTTTGGCCATGCTGTTTATTACCAGACTTCCCCCCTTGTAATACCTATTGTGGCCCCGCCCTACCCCCAGGGGCCATGATTTGAACAATTTAGAATCTACACTACCCCAGGATGCTTCCACATAAGTTTCAGTTTTTCTGGTCCAGTTGTTCTTGAGAAGATTTTTAAAGATTTTTCCTATATATTTCAATGTAAAACTTGGGATTCCCTATTGTGCCCCCCCTCCCCCCCCCCATCCCCGGGGTCATGATTTGAACAATTTAGAGTGTACACTACTTGAGGATGTTTCCACGTAAGTTTCAGCTTTTCTGGCTCAGTGGTTCTTGAAAAGAAGATTTTTAAAGATTTTTCCTATATTTTTCAATGTAAAACTTGTATTCCCTATTATGGCCCCGCCCT